TATCACTCAGAGCCACGAGGCACAGCCTGTGAAAATTGCAGAGGGGGCCCTGTCGATCCTACCGCTAGATTAAGTCTCTGGAGACCATCGAACGGTTGAAACCAATGTTTAGCCCAGCCTTACGTCACCACCTGTTAAACACCATCTTGAGCTCCGGTCTCGCGAAGATCTTCGGGCAGGAACTTCCCCACTTTCTTAGTGCGCTGGTCTCCTTTCGATGATTCAGTATTAAAATCAGCAGCAAGGCTTCCTGATACGGCCGCATGGTGGCTTCTTTCCGTGCTGTGGACAGCGCATGCACCGAATCAAAATTTTAATGTTATTTAGAGCAGGTTTGGTTCATCACCTAAGGGGACCGTCAACGGAGCCCTTCAGAGCAGCTTTGTGGCCCAGAGAAGAGGGTCATGTCAATGAAAGATGGACGGAGATCTTGACCAGATCGTGGAGAATTTCGCTAACATGCTGCTTCTGACACATGAACCTGAAGGGGTTTGGAAGGTTTGCCACCTGCTACAAGTCGCGTCCCTTAGAAATTCTGAAGGAAAGGAGACCTCCGCCAGGATAATTCAGGAGCTAACAGCCTACCAAGGGGGCTCCGTTCTGCGTAAGCTTCTAACAGGAGTCCTTTGGGAAGCGCAGTTGCAGCGGCTTTTAAGCGAAAGTGATGTCAGAAGACTGGCTGAATACAGCATGAGCTGCCAGGCCCTAGCAACTCTTACCGGAAGCAAGGTGGTCATGGAGCGCTGCTTGACTGTCCTTTCGAGAGAAGACAGGCAGATGGCCCGACAGATCTACAAGATTATGTCGGAAAGTGTTCTAAAGGTGGCACGCGGTTTGAAGGACGGAGAAGACTATCGCGCGTTTGTCAAGACGATGGTTTTTGCACCTCTGGAATGCATGGCCAACTTTGTGACAGGTTCCAGGATTTTCCGGGCAGGCGTTAGAGACAGCTTAGAAGAGACTACTTTCCAGGATTCCCTAGGATTCTTACTGTCTGCTGGGTTCATTGAAAGTCTGTCTGAAGATGAGGCTTCCATTGTCCAGCACTTCTTGACCAGTATAGCGTCCTCGCTTGCGTTCAACCCTGACAGCCTACTGTGGGCCATCGATAAGGGCCTTCTCGAGATGGTAGCATCAATCCTTGGAGCTTCACCTTTTCAGCAGCTCTCGGACTACGCCAGATTGAGGGAGTCTCCCATCTCCCGCTGTACTGGAGTCCTGCTCCGCTTGTTAGATTCAGAGGCCACAACGGAAAAGCTGCGCGCTCACGACGCGCTGACACTTTTCAGGCCCCATAAGCGGAAGATCAACGGAGCGTATTCGGAACTGAAACCTTGGAAGTATTTCGAAAGACGATTGGAAGGTCGGCCGGTAGATGAGGACTGGAAGGTAAAAGCCGAGATTAAGGAAGGAACATGCGGTGGAATCGTATGCTCGTGGAAGCAGTGCAGGGCAGGCCGCAAGCCGTCTTCGGGGAAGAAGTTTGGAAAGTGCGGGGGGTGTCAAGTCGCTCGCTACTGCAGGTGATTTTGCAAGAGAGGCAACGCGTCCGGTCTCGATTGTTGTATCATTTTCTTGCATCATCGTGAGATCCAGTGTGGCTTTTGAGCCTCCAAATGCGAAGCACTCAGAAGGTCGAGGCAACGGGGGATAGCGTTCTTTGAGATTGTGAAAAGAGAGACTTGCAACCTTAGCCTACCCGACCACGATTTCCTGCACTTGAATCCTAAAGCTGCAAACGCAATCGTTCTAAGATCTTGCGACAGTTTTAGAAATCGCTCACCAACTGACCACGACAACGGCTCTTAGAGAAATTCTTATCTCTATTTCACTGTCGAAACTGAAGGAGATGCTTCAAGCCTTCGAGTCCCTGGTTGTGTAATCAATCTGCTCGAGCTATGCTGTCAAAGATGAACGTGCGGAGGTTTTGGTTTTTGGTAGAGTCTTATAGGGTTGCATTAGTTTTGACTGAGAATGACAAGGGCTTACAGGGAACTTTGAATGTCCCGTTTTGAAAGTTTAAAAACTGCTCTATTGAGCCTTCGCTTCCCCTCGTCTTTCGAACGATGGAACTGGTTATATTACTGCGAGCTGTAGTCAAAACACAAAAGTACAGAGGTTGAACCTCCTGGTACGATGTCTAAAACGAGCGTATGTGTTTTGTTTGCAGCAAGGAGCATCAGAGACTGCACTGGTCAACCCACAAGATTCACTGCCGGGCCGGTCAAGCAAAGAGTCCACCATGATTCATTCCGCAACGATGGTGTACCGAAATCCATGCTGAGGCAAACATACCACCAACGACGGTTCAGCATTCCGCACAAGCTCTTCGTTGTAGACGAGCCACCAAAGCGCATGCCGCCTTTGTCTTACATCTTAACGCCTGCACGGCTTTTTGAAAAGTCTCTCGATCTGACTGGAGGACTGTTCATACCAAAGTATACATGCATATCCGCGATCTGACTTATCCGCGCAATTGAATGATACTTCATGTGGTCACGAATACCATGCCGCCAGCGCACAGGCCCACTCGCGCACGGCTGGCGCGGCCTGAATATTTAGATTACAGCATTTGTTGCTATGCGTGCCACATAGTACTGACTGGATCTATAGCCGCAGTCCGGACTCCGAACTTGCTATGCACCATGAAAATTGGCTCTGTCAATCAAGAAGCGGCCAAACGAATTATAGGCCGCCGGGGATCATGAGCGCTGAACTGCCGCCCGGCCAATCTTACACAAGAGCCGGTTAGACAGCTCCAAGTCTCTTGTCCCTGAAATGATTTTGAAAGCATGCACGCAGATCTGCCGCTATTCATGCTTGCATCATCTTGATCGATGAGCAGCTGAGAGACCGGGCCGATTCATGCTTGCTTTCGGCTGCAAAAGCAGAGCCAGGCTGAGGCTTGCGAATACATGGAACATGACACAAAATACCCATCTCAAGAAATCTGATAACACGGTGTAACCGAGGAGCACTAGAATCGTCATTTTTTCTCAATCAATCGTAACCCCCTGTGCGTGTGCGGCCCATTGAGCTATGGGCTCCTCATCAGAGTCGCCATCTGGTTGCTCTTCCCGCAACTGCTCAGATCGTGGCTCTTCTACAAAAGCTGGACTCAACAGGCCGTTCTCAGCCGTCAGGTCCAAAGCCGTCGAAGCCCCCTCCTTTTCTAAGATTTCCGTATTCTTCTCCCTGTCCAAGCCCTCCGCATCAGCTACCTCTACGGCCGCTCCAACCGCCTGCGACTCCTCCTCACTTCTGCTTTCCGTCTTCTTAACCGACTTCGCCTTCAGAAGAATCCGCTGAGCTTCCGCGGCTGCCCTCTCCCTTTGCGCGAGCACTTCCGGGTCAGGCTTCACTTCCGTCAGCATGATCGCCCTTCGTTTCTGCGCCGCGCCTTTCATCCCGAGCGTCAGTTTGCTGGCAGTCCTTTCGAGAAGCCCCGCCGGGAGGGGGGGCCGCCGCGGGCTTAGTACGGCCCCCCCAACCGCACGGGCCGCTGTTGGCGAGAGAACTTTTTCGGACGCCCCGAGAGCCGGCCTCGCAGTACTCATCATGAGTCCTGTAGTTGGCGAAAGTAACCGCTCGGACGTCGCAAACAGTGGCCTCTCCGTGTCGATCCTCAGCCCTGTAGCCGGCGTCTGAGATTGCCGTTCTCGGCCCTCCGCCGACCGATTCGGTCCCGTTCTAGTTCCGCTTTTCACGTCGACTTTGGCAGCATCAGCAGGCTGCGCTTTCGACGCCGACCCCGTCGGAAGATCGTCGGGAACAACATTCCGACTGCTTCCTGCATTATCCGCTGTTCCGTTTGGAAGCGTCTCTTCCCCTCGCCGTTCTCCGATCACGCTGAGAAACTCTCTCATCATTGCGCTAGCGCCAACCTCCCCTGCCGTGCCCGAATTCTTATTCTTCAAGCCTTCCCCTTCTTCGATCACACCCAAGCCGCCCGTTTCGATTTCTCCAGGGCGCCACCCCTGCCTGCCTTTTCCCCGGGACGACCCCACGGCGTCTCTTAAAAAACTCCCGTCGCCTGAGTCTTCGCCTGCGCGGCTCGACCCCACTGCTGACGTCATCAAACACGCGCTCGCGAAGCGGCTGAGCTCATGCCCTGGCGGGATGGAGTCCCCCGGCTCCATCCGCGCCGTGAACCCGGGGCCGTGCGCGCTTTCTGACGGGGGCCCCGCATCGCCGTCCCGTGCTGACGTCAGCGCCACGTCAGCGGCGGCCGCGTCCGGGAACGGACTCTCGCTCCTGCTCGTCGTGTCCGAGTTCGTCCGTCTCTTGCCCAGCCGTATGAGCAGCTTCGCAAAGTCCTTTTCGGAAGCGCTCAAACTTTCGCTACCGGTCCCTCCCCCCGATTCCTCTCCACTCACCTTCCTCTTGGTGGACATTCGCTCTGTTTCCCGACCAGCGTCCGTGATTGGCCCTTCAAGTTCTTCCTTCCTCGACTTGACACGTGGCTGCTCCCCAAGAGCGCCACGTGGCGAGCCGAGCCCACTCAGCCCCCGGATCACTATCTTCGGTATCTTTATGGGAGGCCCATCGCCGGAACCTCCCGTTGATGTGCTTCCCCGACCGTAACGCTCCCCTTTACCCGCCTCATGTCCGTTACGTCCGCCCGGTTCCCCCGGACGCCCCGACCCCTCGGGTTCGATCGTTTCTACTTGAATCCTCAGCCCCCCGTACTTCTCCTTGGTGACGTCATCGGCCCTTTTCGCAGGCCGCTCAGCCCCCAGTTGCGGCGGTGGCGCCTTTGGCGGCACTTTTTCGGTGTGAACGCGGGGCAGGGAGAAGATGGGCTGTGATCGTTTCATCCCCAGCTTGGCCAGCAAGCGCCCCTTCACACCGAGCGTCTTCTGAGGCGGCCGCGGGGGGGCCGCTTTCGCGGGCGGCTTCGACTTGGGCTTGCTCTCCTTCTGCAATAAAGCACAACGAGGACGATTAGCGCAGCAAATACAGCACAGAAGAACAACCTTACGCAGCGGAGCTTTTCCATCTTTTGAACTTGATCAGAGGAACGGACTCGAAGACGGCCTTACCCAGATTTGCCGATGGAATAGCTTTTTCTTTAGTACGGACAGGAAAGCGCTTTCGGAGGCAGCTCAGAAGGACCGGTTCCAAAAAGTGCTGATTTCGGACTCAATCCACAAAACCTGCGGGTGGAACGTCGAAACGGATGACGATTGTGGACGGATCTTGTACGGGGCTTTCTGAAAACTGCCGGCTTCGGCCAATGCTCCCAACTCAACCTGCGGGTTCACAACTATACCGCGGACGTTTTCGGGTGCACCTCGGGAGGGGCCCTGTCCGAAACTGCCAGGTCTTAACCAGCATAGCCATGCTTCTCAGCTGTAACAAAAGAGCCTCAAAAGCGGACGCTTTCGGACGCACCCCGGACGAGGCCTTGTCCAGACTGCGAGATCCTTTTCTTTTCTTCAGAGTTCTCATGCATTTATCTTGTTATTGTACGTTTCCGACATCGTCCGTACTTTTGACGTGTGATTGTACGTTATGCAGAATCGGACGCTTTTCGGACGCACCTCGGACGGGGCCTTGTCCAGGCTGCCCGCGGAGCTGTCCGTCCGTTTGATGGTGATGAGGCGCGGGCTGGGCGGCGGCGGGAGCAGCTCTTCCAGCTCGTGCAACAGAATGTCGGGGCTCGGGATCGACGCAGGGACGTCGCTCTGGTCGCCCCTCGCCTGCAGGTCAAAGGGTGGTAAGTTTGGCTCAGAGCTCGGCGACCATAAAATCGCAGAATGCTTGAAGTGGGGAGCCAGTCTTTCCTAACGTTTGGCTTGCTTGGATCTCAACGATACCGTGGCCTTGTCGCGTCGCTTCTTCGAAGTGGCTTGAGGAGGACTCTATAGACCATGACGATCCTGTAAGGAAATCAACCTGATTCAACGAACAGTCCAGTTGCGAACAGAAATCTGTTCTTAGAATCGGGCACTCTTACGAAGCTTTCCTGAACGCCGACTTCTGACTTATCGAAGGTCAAAGTCTTTCCTTCCGGTCACTCGACGGACGATCCCTCCCCATTGACAAAGTTCATCTCAAACTGACGAAGATCCGCTGCCACAGACAGAGGTGTCTAGGTCCGGACTGAAAGCACTTTGCAGTAAAGTAACGGCAATTGTAAGCCTCACCTGGACCTGCCAGCCTTTCAGCAGCCCCACAAGCGCGCGCAGGCCCGAGGACTCCCAGCGCGACAGGCTGTGGTGCTCGCCGCCCGTCCGCTCCTTGTCCTCTTGAAGGCGCTGGACGTAGTAGTATGCCGCATACCTGAACAAGGCAAGATGCGCAGAAACGCTCAATTCTCAAAGGTCAAAAAGCCGATTAGTCTTTGAATCATGATTGCTGAGTGTTGATAAAGCTTTTGAGGGTTGGAGTACCAAAGAGAAGCGTTTTGGCGGAGTTTCAAAAACATGGGCACCACAGTAGCTGAAGGAAGAGACAGAGCAGTAGATGTTTAGATTTGATTAAGTGTATGATTGGAGTGCTTCAGCTCGGAACAAACATCAGGTTCCGACACCAGAAATGAAGACAAATCCATCGTGGCAAACTACTTTTCAAAACCCAATCTTCTTTGAAGCAGCAAGAGCCCTTTCGCAATCAGGTGCTAGACAAATAGGCATTTGCCTTTTCCACTGCCGATCGAGGTCAAGACTAGGATCCACGATCTCCAGCCCCTCACCACATGAGCTGCTTGAAGGAGGGGAACCGGAACTTGGGCCGCACGCGCAGGCGGTCCTCCAGCTTCCACACGTTCGCCTGCGCCGTGAACGTCTGCCCCGTCTGGAAGTTGCCGCCCACCGCAATGCTGTCGACCGGAGTCACCACCGCGTGCGGCCAACCGCCAGGCCTGCAACACTCAAAAAGTGTAAAACTTAGAATCTAGACTGTTACAGCTGACTGATTGACAGTCGCTACCTGTGCCCCAGGTTAGTAAGGGGGTTTAGTCTGGGCACGGGTACGAAACGGAGTATATGTCTGGGTTTCGGACTTCAGGGGTGATCTTGTTCTTATTACGCGTTGGGACCAGCAAATTACATGTTTTCGAGGGGCACCACCCTATGGGACCAGCCGCAAAGTCCGCTCGTAAGAAGCAAATGAGAATTGCTTTCTGGGTTATTGCAGCTTCGCATCAAACTTCGACATGTGTGTCAGGACCAAATCTTCTGCCTATTGTGGTTCTGTCCTCGGAAGTCACCACCGCGTGGGGCCGGCCGCCGGGCCTGCTCGGGGAAGGCTCTTTCAAAAGTTCGGAAGTGCGCTACAGCATGCTCGACATGGAATTCTTCTTTGCCTCATCTGGAAAAAGCCAATTCAGCGATGCTGTCCTCCACAATGCCCCCCCACATACTCTTCGATCATCCGCAGCTACCACACCCGTCACAGGTGTTTCTTGCAAAACAAGAGACCTCACCTCAAGAGCCAGAAGCGACTCACATGAGCAGCGTATCCCCCGCCTCCATCTCCACGCGCTGCCAGCCCTCCCCTTTTTCCGCCAGGAACACGCTCCCCTGCTTCTCTGACGACGCCCACTCCTCAAACGCCTCCAGGTTTTTCGCAGAGGGGGGTGCGACCAGGAACACTTTCTTCCCCCTGACGAGGTGGTACCAAACACAGGACCCCCCCATGTCGACATGAAAGTCGGTGTAGCAGCCTTGGGGGGACATGAGAACGTACAGCTGCACTTTGGGGGGGTACCAGTCGTCGGGGGGCCACACGCGGCTGACGAGGTCGAGGTCGCGCACGACGGACGGGGCGGTCACCTGAAATTGAGGTGAATGCTCCGTTCTCTCTGCTTCAGGGAGGAGCAACGCATGATTGAGACGGATGAATGAGACATTTGGCTCACACGTACTGATGATCCAGGGAGAGACGACGCAAGAATAGATTGAACAGTATGAACAACACTTCCCGCAGTCTCGATGAGGCGGACCTACATGGACAAGAGAGGGAGACGACGACAATACAGCAACACCAGGAATCAAGCGGTCAGTCACACTACGACATACAAGCCAGCAGCTAAACTTTCGAAAAAAGAACTCCAAATGCTGGAAACTTTGCCCTCCTTTGACGCCATGGACTCTCCCATACTCCGTATCACGGGCAAAGTTCTCAGCAGGCACCCATGAGTCATCCTCGAAACGCTGTCCAATTGCCCTCTACTCTTCGTAGTTACTTTTCAACGCTAGTCCTTCAGACATCGGCTAAGGCAGTAACCCTGGCTAAAGTATAGACCTTTTCTTCGGCCGGCCTTACCTGCGACTCCATGCCTGTCCCAAACAGGCCGAGAGAAACGACGTTGAGCAGCTTCTTGCGCGAGGAGGGCGGCATGTTCCAGTAGTAGCGCCACTGCTCCATGGTCCATTTGGGCCCCTCCGCCTGCGTCGCCACATCGATGGTCGGGATCGCGTGCTGCGGCCCGACCAGCCGCGCTATGAGGTCTACAGTAAGCTCGCCGTCAGGGAGCCTGGCACGACAGGAGAAGCACAGGAACGATGGTTGAGAACAAGAAGAAACAAAATGAAGGCAAAGGGCGGGCACATAGAAAGCGATAGAACAGAGGATGTATCTGTCCTGATCCGGGGGGAGATTGATCCTTGATTTGTTCTTCTTCTTCTTGCCAGGAAAAAGTCTGCGGGTCATTAGATAGTGAAAGGTCGCCATGAAAGGAGCCTCTTGAAGCGTACATCTTGATGGAACAGATTAGCTGATAATAAAGACCTCAGAAACCCATCCATGGCCCGCGGGTGTCTTTGTGCGTAAGGTGCCTCGGTCCTTAGTAAGGCTGATGTCTTTCTATGACCAGATTGAAGCAGAGTAAAGAACCATCAAGAGATCTCAAAACAGCGTTTCATATCCAGAAGGCCTTGGAACTCTTGCAGATCCAATTGTCCTCAGTCCGTCCTCCATACTGTGAGTCAAACACTTATCTCCTATTCTTAAAGAAACCAACGTAACTCCCTGCTTGTGAGGCTTTGATGCATAGGACCCTTCAACACGAGATAAGTTGACAGTATCCCCACATTTTAACCCCGCTCAAGCATGAAACAATTGCTCTCAGAAACAGGCAAGCCGCTAGTGGACCCTTCAGTTTAAGGATAGGCAGGATTCAAAAGGAGCATGACCTGTGCCACCCCAGCGTCAGCCTGTCAGCCCCCAGATGCCTAAGCAGAGTAGCTGGACTTCAAGGAGCAAACGAGGGGGAGAAGGAAAGTGGCAGAAGATATGAACCCCGTTGGTCCCCACTTTCTGCCGCTTCGTCATACCACTTGGTTAACAAACAAGCGGACTCGCAGCTTATCATGCCAGCAGCAGTCAAGAGACAGATTAAGGGCACTCTATGGCAAGTAAAGCATGACCAGGTCAGTCGGGACGCTTGATCAAAGATATTGATTAGCAAGGCCTTGCTATCAATCAGCTGGCTTCTGGAACAAACTACCATTCTGACACTTGCAAGCAAGTATGGATCCACCGGACATACTTGTCGCATCTGAGTGATCTGAGGCACTGGGCCGAGCCTTGCCGTGGAAAGAGCAAAGCACCGTGCTGAGGATTGAAATCAGGGCTTTTAAGAGCAGCCCCGTGCGAAAATTTCAACGGAAGATGCATTTAGGAAACTGGAGCAAGGCATGGTCACACCACCGATTCATGTGTGCTCAGGAAAGTGGAATCAATGTTTCTGGAAACCGCTCATCATTTCATGAAAAAACGAAGGATCAAGGATGCCAAAGATCACATGAGGTGACTTCAAAACTTTGCGCCCAGGTGACGACCCAGATCAAAAAAGTTAATGACAATGCATCCAGAGACTCTGCCAGACACCCGAGCTAAATAATATATCCCAGACCACAGCCTCCGGTTTCCTCAACAAGTGTCGAAAAAAGTGCAGATTCCTGGTGGTCAAGCACAGCTAAGGTCCTGATGCAGGCGCCATCTTCATTAGAGCAGGGGCATGAGAAAAGTTTGTCCTTGAGGTGCAAAGGACAGTATTATTGTCTCCAGAAAATGTCCACGAAGCGGGACAAAGCAGCCTCGCTTACCTGATTCCAAGCTTCCGCAATCCCTCTTCCCCCGCATCTTTGACCACAATTGGACTTTGAAACCCTGAGCCCCGCACCACTTCCTCTAGTTCTTCCGGCTTTGCAAACAGCACCTTTGTTTTATCCCCATACTCCCCCTTCAGAATCAACTTCGACAGCTTCTTATAATCTACAGACTCTGCGTTGGTACCAGTTGAGGGTTTGGGCAACACCTCATCAACGCCCTCAATGAATTCGCCAGAATCAAGCGCAGCGTAATCGACCACCCGCGCACGCTTGGACCGGCGCTCCGCCATCAGTGGACAAAGCGGCGCTACTCAAGGACTTGCAATGGATTAGAGAGATGGCGTACCTATCACGTGGTTTTCGAACGACCTGGGCCGCATTCCAAAACGCTTCTGCGAAAGCCCAACATTGACAATCTCTTGGATCTGCTCCCCTCCAACGCTGGACGCCCTCCTTGTCCATGAGCCTGATCTCCTCGAAC